ATATGGTCTTTGGGATATTAGATAGATAAGAGACTATAGATACATGATAACTGAGGATAGATAAGTCTAATGGATTGGATTCCCTTATATCGTTTGGGGACTAAGATGTAGTGGCATAGTACATTCGTAGTCGATGAGTCAAGTGAATTATTATAGGAGATTATAATTCATAGAGTCAGAAGGAGTTCTGATAGGTATGACTTATAACCAGCTCGATATTGGGAATAGAAAGTCACACACATATGGTAGATGTTCTGATGAGTAGAGATTTGGATATGAGATATCCATTGGAGCCCATATTTTATTGGATATCTAGTAAGCTCGTGAATTATTGGATCTTGTGGATAAGATTTAATAAGAACCAATGAGAGATTATTAGGTAAAGATCCACTAATCCAAGAGGCTTTGATAGTTAGATTGAGATCTAGTACCAAATATAGTAAAATCCATTAGGGTTAAGTTGATAGGGACCTCCATAAATATGAGAGAACCAAAGAGAAGACTAGACCCTTTTTAGTTGTCACCTCCTATTCTCCTCTCTTACTCTCCTCCTCAGCCGAGAGCCCTAGTTTGGGGCATGTTGATAGAAAGAAGGGTCGACCCCTTCTTGATCACATGGTGCGCATGGAGAGGAAGATCGTGTAGTAATTTGAGGAGTGTCTTTGCCACATCTACCATATGGATCATTGTTAGAGAGGAGGATAGTTGACCTTATTCATCCACTTTTACAGATCTAGGATTTTGTAGAGATATACGATCTCCCTATGTAACAAATCTGCCTTGATATGCATAATTTTCGATTTTGTATTTTATTTTGTGCACCAATCTTTGCACAACAACGAGAACCTTTTTTCTTTGTGAAATTTGTGATTTTATTTTTCTGCTTCGCATGTGATGCTCTATCCAAGTTTTCTAATAAATAGGGGAAACCAAAGTGGCATAAGCTAGACCCCTTTTTAATTGTCACCTTTTATTCTCCTCCTTCCCTCTCCTCAGTCAATAACCCTATTTGGGGCATGTGGACAACAAGAAGGGTCGGCCCCTTCTTGATCTTGGTGTAACCTTGTGGTGTGCAAAGGAGAGAAAAGATTGCGCTGCGAAAGGAGGAGCATCGCGACGTCATCTGTCATGTGGAACACTGCTAGAGAGGAGGACATCTAACCCCCTTCATCTATATATTTGGATCTGTGTTTTCATGAATATAAGATCTCCCCTAGATAAATCATCTCACATGTGTTTTGCAGTTTTCAGTTTTATGATTTTTCGTGCATCAATCTTCACATGATGATCCGATATTGAATCTTTGAGAATCAGTTTTGGTTTATGTTCTTCCACTGCACATGTGATGATCTATTAAGGTTTTCCAACAATACCCACTTGTCCGTCGCACCACTCGCCCACCGGACTTGCTTGATCGTTGCTTGCCTACCGTACCTACTCACTCGTTGCACTTGCTCAATCATCGCTCACCTATCGCTCACTCATCACCCCTCTTTCCGATCTACTCATATGACAATTTATATATATATATATATATATATATATATATATATTTATTGCCACTATGATTATTATGTTTCATATGTGTATTTAGTTATAATTTTTACTACAGATGTAGCAGAAGGTGTCATCTCTAAAGGTAGACAACTTCTAACAGAAATAAGAGATTAATATGAAATTGCCACTCAATCAAACTCCAATGAGGCATGGCAAAGTTCATGAAGCAATAAGCATACAAGTTTTTATGGTCGTTATCGCTTTCATGTCGGAATGAGCTCATGTAAGCAAATGAACAAACTTGTGATTTTTGTTGGCTTGCAATAACTCTGCTTAAGTTATTGTGATATCTCAATCTGATGAGTCTCATGCAAACAAAGTTACAAGGAGAAAGCAAATGTACAAAAGTATTCAATGAGCTTTTCGACAAATGGCACAAATTGATAGATCTATTTTTTCTTTCAAAGATGACCGGAAATAACACAACATCAATTCTAGCATTGTGTTGATGTTATCACAGATTTATTTTTTTGTCACGCTACATTCAAAATCAGGCAAATGAAATAAGATTTTATACTCAGTACGAACACTTCCATTTTGTACAGAAAAATGAGAGAAAAAGGAAAATAATTTTTTATTATTTCATTAAGAAAAAAAGTAGGTGCAAGCGATGAGTGATTAGCGAGTAGGAGCGACGGGCGAGTGGCGGGTGAGCAGGTGCGGTGGGCGAGCGGGTATAATGAGCGAGTGACGGGTGGGTAGGTGCGATAGGCTAGCTACTAGCGAGTGACGATCGAGCAGGTGCGGCAAGTGAGCAGGTTCGACGAGCGAGCAGGTGTGGTGGGCGAGCAATGAGCGAGTAGGATCAACAGGTGCGATAAGCAACAGGTGAGTAGGTTGGAATGAGGAGGGAAAGAGGAAATCGACTAGGGAAGTTTATATAAAATTAATATTTTAAAGATAATAATATTTTTTTTTCTTTCCATTCAGGCATGTGTTGTCACGTGTTTCAAAGTTAATGACGTAAAGAGAATCATGGTTAAATATTTTATTTTTATAAGTATATGGACCCCAATGCTACTTTTTAAAGTATAGAGACTTGGATACTAATCATAGTTAACTATACGGGATAATATATAATTACCCCTTTGATGCATCATCTCGTGCGAGATCTTACGATAACTCCCCATCGGTCGCTTGATTTCATCCTTTTTCGAGCTCGATGAAAGCATCCATCTTTGCAACTCTTGTCCTTCGGCTTAGAAGAAATAGTTTCAAGGTTGAGGAGGCCTGCTTCTCGACGGCATCACTTTCGTCATGTGCAGTTCACAGCATAACAAGCATCCACCAAAAATCTTAAGACTTATCCTCTTAGAAACTTGTTATGTTAGAATAACTTCTCTTTTCGCATACTTACCTCATCTAAAAGCAAAAGTTTTCATATTTGATGGCATCAAACTTTGGTCACCTTTCACTAAAAATCTTGAGACTTATCCTCTTGAAAACTTACCTAGTTGGAATAACTTTCCTCCTTGCATACTTACCTCATCTTAAAAACAAAAACAAAAGTTTTCATACTCCATAACATCAAATTTTAGTCACATTGGGATGCCACAAAGAATCTATCATTCGCGTACAAAGTCTTTACATGAGAATTGATTTCTTTAAGTTGTTAATTCGCTCGCACGAACTCTTTCATCACCAATCAACCATTCTTCGACTTGCACAATTTCATTATTTCCAAAGCGCTCTTGCTTGCATCAAAGCACTATCAAATTATGTTAATAACATCGAGTCATAGCTCGAACTCAATCGTCCTAACTTTTGTGCATATACATGTTTTTCCCAGTTTACTTGTCTATTTTATCTCTCACGTGAGTGGAGAGTCATTCCTCTTAATGCCAATATCAAATATCCACTCGATCGAGTAACTTTATTCCTCGTGTTTAAACGTTTTTTTTTTTACCCTTAATCTCATGCAGTCCCTTAGGGATCTATAAGATAAGAAAATGATGAGTTAGCGGAAGCGATAATTGAGATCACATCAGTTAACACTTAAAAAACCACTTTATAAGTGTTGTAAAAATATAAAAAAAAACTTGAAGCTTTAAATGGTCGTATACAAAAGACATCGGGCACAAGTGTCATACAACACCGACAACAAGACAGATTGACGAGCCATCATCCTTTGTCATATAACTAATGTCTCCTTCGATTCGGTGCCACCCCAAGGATTCCAGCGTATTGTGATAGTAATGTTTCATACCTTAAGACTATC